TCATGGCACTTTCAATATTCTTTGCCAACACCACAACTCCAGTCTTCCTTATTCATCATCAAATTTTACATGCATATGAAGTGATTGGAAATTATGGCTCACCTTAGTCCTCAAAGTGACATCTAATGGAAGATGGAAATCATCCAACTATATTATTAATATCACATGAAAGTAAAATTTTGCTGAAAATAATTTTTAAATGATTGCAGCAGTGTATCAACAGGGAGCTGCCAGAAATTCAAGAGGATATGGAACTAGGGATAATATTTCTGACATCAGATATATCTTGGCTGAAAGAAGAGACTACCAGAAAAGTGTTTACTGTGCTTTATTGACCACGCAAAGACTTTCAACTGTGTGGATTCTGACAAACAATGGATAACATTGCTAAAAATGAGCATTCCAGAACACTTAAATGTGTCGTAAGGAACTTGTACATAGACCAAGAGGCAGCCCTTAGAAGAGAACAAGGGGATACTGAATGGTTTAAAATCAAGAAAGATGTGTTCCAGAGTTGTACTTTTTCACTCTACTTATTCAATCTGCATGCAGAGAAAATAATTTAAGAAACTGGATTATTTGAATGAGAACATGGAATCAGGATTGAAGGAAGACTCATTAGAAATCTGCTATATGCAGATGACATACCCTGCTTTCTGGAAGTGAAGAGGACTTGAAATACTCACTGATGCGTATCAAAGACTACAGTCATAACTAAGAAGAGCACCTGAATCTAAAGAAAACAAAATCCTGACACTGAAGCAATAAATAACCTCATGATAAATGGAGAAAAGACTGAAGTGGTCAAAGATTTCATTTTGCTTGACTCTGCAATCCATGCTAATTGAAGCTGTTGTTATTGTTATGTGTTATGTTATGTTAATGTTATGTGTTATATTGTTATTGTTATGTGTTATGTATGTTATGTGATATCAAGTCAGTTCCAACTGATAACAATCCTGTGCACAACAGATCAAAACACTGTCTGGTTCTATGACATGCTCACAATTGTTGTTATGTTTGCATTCACTGCTGCTGCCACTGTGTCACTCCATCTCCTTGGGACTCTTTCTCTTTTTCATTAACTCTCCATTTCACCTACTATTCTCTCCTTCTCCAGGACCTGGTCCCTCCTGATGACATGTTTGAAGTATGAGAGACATAATCTTGCTATCCTCATTTCTAAGCAGCATTCAGTTTGCACTACTTCCAGGACAAATTTGTTTGTTCTACTGGCAGTTCATGATACTTTTAATATTTTTCTCCAACACAATAATTCAAATGCATTAATTCTTTTCCAGTCTTCCATAGTCATTGTCCAACATGCATGTGAGATGATTGAAAATATCATGGGTTGGGTCAGGGTCATCTTAGTCCTCAAACTGCATATTTCCTCTTGAACACTTCAAGAGGACTTTTGCAGCACGTTTGTCTAATGCATTATGTCATTTGATTTCTTGACTGTGGATACAAACAAAACAAAGTCTTTGACAACTGTAATCTTTTATCTGTTTATCTTGATGTTATTTATTGTTCCAGTGGTGAATATTTTTTGTTTTTTTTACACTGAAATTCAATCCATATAGCCTTCAGATTGTAGTAGTTAATTTTCATTAGTACCTATTTTAAGTACTCTTCACTTCCATTAAGCATGATTGTATCATCTGCATATTGCAGTTTCTTCCAATGCTGATGCCATGTTCTTCTACAGATAATCCAGCTTCTCAGATTATTTGCTCATTATACAGGTTGAAGAAGTGTGGTGAAAGACTACAACCATGGTGCACACTTTTCCTGAATTTACACCATTCGGTATCTCTGTTCTGTTCAGTCAACTGCCTCTTGGTCTATGTACAAGTTCCTCATGAGCACAATTGTTTTGGAATACCTGTTCTTTGCAATGTAATTCATAGGTGGTCATGACCCACACAGTGAAAGATTTGAACAGTTAATAAAGCACAAATAAACATTTTTCTCTTAGAGTTTTTCTGTGGTGTTGTAAAATAAGCACTGGGCTACCAACTGCAAAGTTGGTGGTCCAAACCTACCAATGGCTTCTTGGATACCCTATACAGAGTTGCTATGAGTCAGAACTGATTTTATGGCACTTAACAATCGACAGAATATCAGAATTATGTTTTAGGTAAATATTCCCCTTTTGATCTTGAATGGTTGCCCATTCCATGGTGAACATATGTTATTAGTGTTGTTGTTCCCCCTATCCACCACTTGGCTGAAAGTTGAGCTCTGAGGGTATGTTTAATGCCCGCCCTGAAGGATGACCAAGAGCCATAATCTTGGGTTCCTCCAGTCTGTTTCTGACCAGTAAGCCCAGTCTTCTAAATAATTTTGAGGTTTCTTCCACATTTTCTCCCATTCTATCCAGGATCTTCTAATGTGGTCCCTTTTAGAATAGTTGGTACTGTTGGCTGAACACCAAGAATTTCTTCTGGTCTCAGTGTTGTGGAGATGGATGTTCACATTTCCATTAGGCCACTGGACTAATTGATACCTAGTGTCTTCAATTTTCATCACTCTTCTTTTCCTCCACACATTGTATCTATTATGGCCAGTCATGAGCTTTTGAGATCCCGATAACTATACACAAAAGAAAGATGTGGAACATTGTCTTTGTGGACCACATTATAATGCTTGACAATGGTGTCCCCTGAGATATGGTTCAAAGACTCCAGGGCCAACATCTCATTCCCTCAAGGTGTTTGTTGATGTGTAAGTTTTCATAATTTTGCCCTGTATGTTCCACCACATTCATGGATATGTTTACAACAAAGGTAAATGCCCATATATAAATATTCTCTGTCAAACCTATGTATACATTTGTGGGTATATTCCCAATGTCCCTCCCATACCCAATCAGCATGTGTATCTTTCCATGTATCTACCAGTAGATCACAGGTGTTGCAGGGTTGTGTATATAATAGTATTATCTCTATTCCCTTTAACCTTTGCACTGCTTTCTACATCTGCCCCTGTGTTCATCGTTTTTCTGCTAACCTCCCTCTTGTATATTGCCTTCTCCTTCATCCAAGTTAACATAAGTTTATCCTGTAGCCAATGAATTACTGTCCCTTCACTCCTATCTCTGGTAACCAGCAAATAACTATATTTTTGCATAAAAAACTTTTCTAGGCTGTTTACAATAGTGGTCTATTACAATATATGTACTTCTGTGATTGACTAATTTCATTCATCATCATGTCCTCCAAGTTCATCCATGTTATGAGGTGCTTCCTAGATCCACAGTTATGCTTCAAAATTGCATAACATTCCATTGTATACATATAAAATGTTTATCCATTATTCTAGTGATTGATATTTAGGCTGTCTCTTTTATGCTGTCATAAATACTGCTGCAATAAACATGGATGTGCAAATATCTATTAATGTCACTGCTCTTACATTTTGAGGGAATATATCAAGTAGAGAGATTACTGTCATACAGTATTTCTATTTCCAACTTTTTGAGGAAATGTCATGCCATTTTACACAGTGGTTGCCTCATTTTACAGTTCTATCTGCAGTGCCAGAAGATGAAAATATTATGAATAGGATTAGAATATTGTCAAATACAGTCAGAATATGAGCACCTCAGGTTGAAAGTAACTCAAAAGGTGAAAAGGGAAGAGCTACCTCCTGAAAGTAGAGGTGACCATGATGATGTGAATGGAGACTTTCATTTGCTGATGGGGCACAACTCAAAATGAGAACTGTTGCAAACACCCATTAATAATTGGATAACATGGAATGTACCAAGTAGGACTCAAAGAAAATTGGAAGTTGTCAAAACTGAATGAAACATATAAAGATCCACATGCTAGCAATTAGTTCAATAAGCTGAAATGGACTGATATTAACCATTTTGAATCTGACAATCATATGGTTTATTATACTGGAAATGACGTATTGTAGAGGAACGGTGTTGCATTCATCATCAAAAGAGCATTTCAAGATCCACCTTGAAGTACAACACTGTGATAGAAAAATATCCATATGCCTACAAAGAAGACCAGTTAATACCACTAGAATTCAAATTTATGCATCAACCACTGAAGACAGTGATGATGATATTGAAGAATCCTACGAACTTCTTTAATGTGAAATTGATCAAATATTAAGATGTATTGATAACTACTGGTGATTGGAATGCAAAGGTTGGAAATAAAAAGAAAGGATCAGAAGTTGGAAAATATGACCTTGTTGACAGTAATGATCCCGAAGAGCACATGATAGACTTTTGCAAGACTGAGGACTTATTCATTGAAAATATATTTGGAAACAGCATAAAAAACTGTTATGCACATGGAGCCCTCCAGATTGAATACACAAGGATCAAATTGACTATATATGTGAGAAGAGACCGTGGGAAAGCACAACATCATCAGTCAAAACAAGGCCTTGTTTTGGTTGATGATACTGCTCATATGTATTTTCAGGCTGAAACCAAAGAAAATTGAAACAAGTCCACATGAGATAAAATACAACCTTAAACATATCCCACCTGAATTTAGAGGTCATCTCAAGAACATATTTGATGTGTTACACACTAATGATCAGAGGACCATGATCAACTGTGTAGATTCTGACAAGCTAAGGATAACATTGTGAAGAATGGATAGTCCACTCATCTGGTTTGTCTTCTGCTGTTTGCATATTTTCAGTTAAGTTTGATGGTATATTTAATGTATGTTTTCCTTAGCACATTTAGGATCCTTTTATTGTAATTGTAATGAAGTTTATTTGTGGTAATAAATTCCTATTTATCACTTAGATCAATATGATACTATGTAATAGACGTTCTAAAAGAAGTGTTTTAGACATAGCTCATCTATTCAGTAAAACTCAGTGAGATACTGAATGTGAGATGTTGCCATGATTAAAGAGACAAACAGAACACAGCCAAGGGAGCTTGCTTTCATTTTCAAATGAAATAAGAGATGATATTTAAATAGCAGTTGCTATTTAAAATGGACATTACTCACAGCTTTATTTGCAAAAGTATCTTCATAAAATGCTAGCATCAAAGCAAATTGAACAACAGCATATATCTTTAGCAGCTGAGATGCTGGAGATGAGAATGCAACTTCTTTTCCAGTGACCTAAGTAGACAAGAGAGAAATCTTCCCATTATATTGTTCCTTAGCATCTTCTTACCGAAATTTACACTAAGTGAGGAAGGGATAAGCAAAAAGCAACCATATAGCTTGATATTCTTTTTCTAAAAACAAAATATCCTTGTATTTATTATTTGCAGAGGAAAATGTCTCAGAGCTTTTTCTTACTTTATGGGCATTGCAGTTTTTGTTTAGTGAGCCTAAAAGAACAATATGGAGTTCCTGATAATACAATAGTGCTCAGCTGCTGACTGAAAGGTTGGGGGTTTGAATTCACACTAAGTTGTTTTAGAAAAAAGTTCTGTGATTTACGTTTGGAAAACCAAACCTACAGAGCACAGTTCTAATCAAACACACCTGAGGTTGCCAGGAATCGTCACGGACTCAACAGCAACTGGCTTGGTTGTGGTTTAAAGCACAGTTTGAAAATTGATTGAGCAATATATACTGATAATGATGCCAAAGTAAACAGGTTTGATCTTTTCCCATTTATTTATTTATAACTATGATCTAACTATGTATAACTAAGTAAAGCAAAGCAGATGAAAAGTGTTAAATTAATTTGTGTAGTGTAGTTAATCATACCTCAAAGGGAAACATTTTATTTGGACCAACTCTTTAAAACTACTGAATTTCTCAGAAATACTACATTTTTATTTTTACAAATCAAATTTAGGTGCCCATATTACTTTGAAAAGAATAATTTTGGATTATCTATCTATTGAAAAAATGAAAATATGAATAAATGGAGCACATCTATGTAATATGTTGGGGCTCAAATAAGCAAATAATTTTCACTTTTATCAACTTCCCTGATAAGAGGTTGAAACTATAACCAGAGTGCCTGGGATATACTATCACAGCAGCTTTGGTTACTGAGTAGTAAAATACATTTATTTAGAATGAAATTTTTAGAAAATAATGATATTTAAACAATCTATGTAATTGTATTTCCTTGAAGAATTGCCTAAATTTTATATTCATAGTTTATTTTGCAATACAGTGCAGTTTATTTATTGGTTCTTTAGCATAGTGGATTATGAGCTGAGTTGCTAACTGCAAGATCAGCAATTCAAATCTACCAGCTGTTCTGCAGGAGAAGGACGAGGCTTTCTGCTCCTGTAAAGATTTACAGCCTCAGAAACCCCATAAACTCCTGCTATGGGTGGAACCGACTCCATGGCACATAACAACAACAACATACTAATATTAATGAGATTATTTTGATAAGGGATTATATATTTTAGATGTGTTGGGGGGGGATGTTTTTACATCCCTATAAGAAGGATCACAGATTGAAACTGATTATGTGTGTGAGTCTAGTACTTTAAATCTCTAGATTGTTTACTTTGGCTAATAATGTGATTTCTGTATTTACTCTACTACTATGACATGAATAAAGTTATGTTTTAAGCTAAATAGCCACATCCTTTATGCTGTGTGACCTCAGACTTTCCATTCTGCGCACCTCAGTTTTCTTGAGCAAAATTAAGGTTATAATGAATCTCTATGTTCCCTCCATCTCTGATGTCCCAGGAATCTGTGATTGAGCTTTGTATGTTTATGCAGCATAAGTCTTGCACAAAAACACAAGCCTCTGTTGCTCTGCTCCTTAAACTGTGTTCTTCGTTAAGAGGCAAAGCTTTCCTGGAAGAAGTCTCCTCTATATTGTGCTCTATGCTATGTGTACTCATTAAATCACGGATCATGGATTTACAGCTTCAAGCTCACCAGCTGTTCCTCAGAAACCCTATACAGGGTTACTATGGGTCAGAACTGACTCAATGGCACTTAACAACAAAGGAGCATCATTCTTTTAAAAAAATGGTATGAAGCTATCATCCATTGCATCAAGAATGGCTATTGACCTGAACAGAAGACAAATCCTCAACATCACCAACCCCATGAACTCTACTTACTTCTGGGATTTCTTCACTCAGTCCAAGTCTCGGTTTACCTGGACTCCATCCTGGTCCTTTAAATATGACAGAAAACTTATTGAAGAATCCAGGTGTGGCCCAGAATGTATTCCATATGTATAATAAATGGTGGAACTAGGAGGAATAAAAATATTACTAATTTAAAATAAGAAAAACTTAAGAAAACAAAGTTTAAATTAAACAAATTTTGTGTTTTATTTGATTGTTAAATGTAGGTAACCCCACCTTATGACAGGTTTCAGTTCTGAGAGTTGGTTTTAACATAAGTACAAAAAATCATTTCTGTTTGATTATTATTGCCTTTTACTATAAATATCTTTAATATATGATCTTCACTTGTCTCGGAATTGGCATGAGAACGATACCATCAGCAAATTTTGTTACAACAAAATATGTAGTGCATATTACTAACAACAAGATGTACAAAAACAAAAATGGCTTATAAATATGGTTGTTTACAACTTGAATATATTGTTAGTAGGGTACTACTAGATGTATGTATATGAGGGGGCTTCAAAAATTTGGTAGAAAAAAATGGAAAGAAAAGATTAATGGAAGGCAGCAATGAAGAAATGGGCTGAGACTGACCACATTCCATAGACTCCTGTTAACCTGGAGATGAAAGAGAGAAGAGAAAGGTCTGTTGGTCTGAGGTGTAGTGAGATCTGGAGACTCCTGAGCCCATGGACAAGGACATAGCCACGGAGGGCTAGAGCTGAGAGTGAAGCATCCAGTGATATGAAGTGAGGGGAGATGCACAAGGCTTCCCAAACTTACAGATAGTACCCATTTGACCTAGCTTCGATGGCTGGATTATCAGAACTGGACTAGAGGAAGATTTTAAAAAGGGAAACAAGTGTAAATTGCTACAATTTGATGAACTTGACCTATAACTATGGATGTAGTAGCTCAAGATACCAACTGAGAGGAAAGAAGTCTTCACATCAAGGATCAATCCTATCCCCTCTGTGCACAGGGTAACTTAGACACTGGCTACCTAAAATGGGGTGAGGTACTATAAAATGCCTGGCTTACAAGTTTTCAAGAGCGGATTCAGTTTTAGAGTGTGCAGGGGAAGTTAGAATCCCCACTGAATAGTTTTCATCTTATTTAGATGGGTCTGGTGAAAGGAAGATGGGGATAAGATTCTTATGATTCAATAGTGAGTAACTGTTATTATGACTCATTGTGATTGTCACAACTGTAAAGGTAGAACTTTTGTAACATAAAGAAGGGAGTAGTAAACCTTACATTCCAGGTACATAGGAACCTAGGACCATCAAGGGACAAGAGTGAGAGTGAAATGTGGGACCCTATCCAGAGAAGCAGGGACACAACAGATGGAGGCAGAGATGAGGACTCTAGACTCATGGAAAGAGAAAGGCTTTGTGCTGGAGGCCAGAAAGCATGATTGCAGAACATGCCCTTTGGTTGTTTAAATGATTATATATTCCTGAGTGTTTTGTTGTGTACATCCAAAAAGAAAAATAAATAAATAAGAGGGAATAGAAGCAAATGCTGTTGAATGATGATGCACGGAGGGGATTTTAATTATTGCAATGAAATGAAATATGATAGGATGAGTACAAAACCAATATTCTTCCATGTAAACTATTATTCAATTCACACGCAAAAAAAAAAAAGATAATGGAACTTTTCAAAGAACTTCTGAAGTCCCCATAGAATCCTTTGGTACGGTAACTCCACAATTGAATATCTTCTTTAGTTTTTCACTTTCAGAAATACTGTGTGAGTTTTTCCCTTTGGTTTGCTAACCTACAATCTTTGTACATTTCATTAATAAGCTTTACTTTATCCTCTTATACAGCCCTTTGAAATCTTATTTCAGCTTTTTTTTTTTTTTTTTTTTTTTTTTTTTTTACTTGCTTTAACTTCTCTATATTTGAAAGCAAGTTTCAGAGTCTCTTTTGACATCTACATTCTTCATGTACAATATCCTTGATGTCATCCCATCAAGGATATAGTATATGTATATAGTAATGGTTTATGTTACTGAAAAAATTATTTCCAATGTGTAGATCCTTTGTTTTGCAAAATTCTGTCATGTGATCCTTGACATAGTTTTTTTTTTTTTTTTTATCATAAAGACCATATTTTCCTTCTTTGTTCCCTACTTTTGCATTCTTATCACCAGCAATTATCAATACATCTTGTTTGTATATTTGGACAACTCTCAGACTACAGAAGATAGTAAAAACCTTCAATTTCTTCTTTATATATAGCACTGATGGTCAGTGAGTAAATCTGAAAAATATCTGGTCTTCCTTGTGGACCTACAGATAGTCTCCTATACTGACACTGTTGTACGTCAGCATAGATGTTGGAGTGTTTTTGAAGATGAATGTTATGCCATTTCTTTTTAATTTGTCATTTCTGGCACAATAGACCATATGATTGTCTGATTCAAAATGGCCAATCCAGTCCATTTCAACTCCCTAATACCCAGAATGTCAATCATTATGTGTTCAATTTCATTTATGACAACTTCCAAACTGCCTTGATTCATACTTTTTGTGCATTCTTGTCTGATTACCAATGGATGTTTGCACCTGTTTCTTCTTATTTTAAGGTATGTCATATCACCAAATGAAAGTCCTAAAGGCTTTACACTATCCATGTCATTAAGTTCAACTCTACTTTGAGGAAGAAGCTCTTCCCCACTTTTATTTTGAGTGCATTCTAACTTGAGGGGTTCCTATTCAGGTATTTTTATCAGACAATGCTTTCTGTAAGGTTTCCAAGGTCCAATCTTTTTCAGAATTAGACCTCCAATTCCTTCTTCCTAAACTGTCTTAGTCCAGAAGCTCCATTAAAACCTTTGCTGGTACTTGAAACACCAGTAGCATAGCTACCAGCAGCACAACAAAATGCAAGACAGTACATTGTGACTGACAAGTGGTCATATACACATATGATGTAAGCCAAAAAGTATTGCCACTAGGGTTCCAGTTAATACATTATTTATTACAAACAAAATGTGTTTAAATATGTCTCTGCAATCAGTGGAGGATTACAGATCAACTATCTCAGGTATACATTTGTCCTAGTCTCATTAGGATACCTTCAAAAGAGATATAGTGGCTTCCAAGGGAATCTGCTGGGCCAGTTCAATTTAATATAGAGAAGTTAGCTCAAGAAGTTGTTACAATGGTTTGGGGGGATTTCAAGGGCATAATCTCAATAGATTTTTTCTGAGGACACAGGATGATTTGTCTGTGGCTCATTTGCTCAATATGAAGAAGTTTTAAGAAAATTGAAAACTGCACTGAGGAGCAAAAAGGTCAGAAAGTTATACTGAAGAGTTGTTTTTTTCTTCCCCATAGCAACAACATACCTGCTCATTCATCAAGTATAATAAAGGCTATCTTACAAGGATTTCATTGGGAAACCTTACCCCATTCCAATGTAAAGCCCTGATCTTGCTCTTTCAGACTCCTATGTTCCCAAAACTCAAAAAGCATTTAAAAGAAATATAATTTGGGTCTTTCAAGAATGCCCAAACTATCATTTTTATGTGGTATAAACAAGAGTGTGCAATTCTTCAAGAAAACCTTGTTGTTGTTGTTGTTGTTGTTAAGTGCTGGTCGAGTAGATTCTGACCCATAGCGACCCTGTATAGGGTTTCTGAGGAGCAGCTGAGAGAGATGTAAATACCACCTTCAGAAATGTATGGAGGTGGAAGATAAGTCTAGAAACAATAGGTTCATATTTTGACATTTTTGTCTAATAAAGATTTCTAGAGTTAAAGGCAACAGAGGTAAATACTGTCATGTACACAATTCTTCAGTCATGGTGATCTAATGGTAAACATGAATAGACACAAAGTTGAACAGGAGTGGGAAGGAGAGTGCTCACAAATATATATAGGTTTGACAGAGGATATTTGTATTTGATACAAATATATCCATGAATGTAGTAGAGCATACGGGGGCGGAGGTGATTATGAAAACTTCTTAGACATAAGAAAATACCTTGGGAGACTATGTGCTAGTACTGGGAGCTCAGGACCACAGTCTGAGGGGACACCATGGTCAACTGGCATAACATAGTCGACAAAGAAAACGTTGTAAATTGTTATTTGCTAAGTAAAGACACAGGTCTTAAAAGCTCCTTTTGGCACATCTAAGGCGCTCTGGTAGCGTAGTGGTTATGAATTGTGCTGTGAACCGTAAGGTCAGCAGTTTGAAACTACCAGCTATTCCATGGGAGAAAGATGAGGCGTTCTGCTCCCGTAAAGATTTACAGCCTCGGAAACCCTGTGCAGGGTCGCTATGAGTCGGTTCTGACTCCACAGCACATAACCACCAACCACCAAGGTGCAGTTATTGGTCTTTCCTCATCTGGAGGAAGGAAGAGTGTTTAAAATTAATGGAAACAATTAGCCAAAGAAACATGGGAACATCAGTCTCCACAAACCTGAGACCAGAAGAACTGGGTGGTGCCTGGCTACCACTACTAACTGCTCAGAAATGGATTATATTAGAAGGTTCTAAATAGAGTGAGAGAGACTGTGGAACAAAATGAAAATGACAAAAAGAAAAAGAGACCAGGCTTACTGGTGGAACACCCTTGGTCACCTTTCAGGTCTGGAACTAAATTAGTAGTGTAGAATTCTCAGATAAGGCCTTTTGCTATCCTTCAAGTCTGGAACTGAACTCACCCCCATGGCTCAGTTTTCAGCCAGTCAATAGATAGGTCTATGGAGGGACCAACAGCACTCGTGAGGAAGGTACCCCATAGAATGGTCAACCATTTGAGATCAAAAGGGTAACATTTACCCAAGGACAGAGTTTAGAAGGGTTGGGGAAAAACGGAGGAATGGAAACAAAAAACAGTGACAAAATGGTAAAAATGATGTTACGTTGAGGGAATTTCAATGTATGAGATGGAATGAAGCATGCATGAGATGTTTGAGTGTGGGCTTCAAAAAACTCAGTGAAAAATTCAGTGATTATTTTAATTCCCTTTTTTCACAATCTTTTTGAAGTCCCCCATGTATAAGCCATACATGTGATTAAAATGCATCATAGAAGTAGGCATTGTCCTAGAGGTTGAGTATCAGCTATAGACTCTATGGGTGAGTTCCACTTTATGTTTAGAATAAATTAATTAAGAAAAATGTTTGGGCTTTATGGGTTTTTGTGGTTTCACTTGTATTTTCACTGTCTTTAAACTTCCTGTATTATACAAATAGTTTTAAAAAATTGCTTGAAATATTGCAACACGGAATCTGAAGCAATTAAAGGCCACTGTGGATTTAGGTGAGCATATTTTAATGAAGGGCAAATGTTACATGAAAAATTATCCTTGAAATTTGTAATTATAATGAATGTTTTAAGGAGTTATAAACATTAAAATGCTCATCTATTTTATTACTTTGAAAACTGACTGTACTTATTTTCATCATTTTAGACACAAACCATGAAAAGCGTATGGTACAGGTTTAAAATGCTAAACTATTTTCTTGTCATTTGTCCCAAAATATTCTATAAGGCGCTCTGGTAGTATAGTGCTTACAAGTCAGGATGCTAACCTCAAGGTCAACAATTCAAAACTATCAGCTGTTGCACAGGAGAAAGATGAGGTTTTCTGCTTCTGTAATGATTTACAACCTCAGAAACCTTATACAGGGTCACTATGAGTCAGAGCCGACTCCAAGATACATAACCACCACCACCACCACCACCACCACCACCACCATTCTAAAACTCCAAAGGAGAGTAAAGTGAATGGTCTGGGCCCTAAAGTAACAGCAAATAAACTACAAAAACAAAACAAAAGCCTCCATCTAGTAAGGAACATCCTAAATTGCTTTTGATGGATGTGTCTGACTGTTAGACAAGAAATGTATCCATGTCTAAAGGAATACACACACAACAAACTACAGTATGTGCTTATGTATGTTTAGGAGTTTCTAAGTATCACAACCTGATGAGTTGGCATTTCTGACAATTTAAGTGAGCATGTAGAAGATTAACACTTAGCCTACACAATGAACAAAAATTTCTCGGTGTATTGTTTCTAAACTGGCATCAATTCTACAATGTAGATTACTTTAAGAATACCTTAAAACATTTATTCTGTAATCTCCTGACATATAGTGTTCTTAGTAACACCTAACCAAGTTTTACAATACCAAGAATTGAGAAGAGATATAGTTATCATCTTCTCTTTTGAAGAATTAAAAGATAAATGTCTTATATTTGCAGCATAAAGGCTCTTTTGTAATGTCCTATTTTTAGTAACAAGGGCAGCATAATGTAAGTGTTAAACTGGGTTAAGTAAGTGAGTTAAGACTTGACCTATAGCCACCCTTGAGTATGTTTGTATCTGAGCAATTCTGTGACCTTGGATACATTATGTAAATCCTGGTATTTTAGCTATGTAGTGCTGCTAAGGTAAGATACAACCCAAACCTACTATCTGTGAGTTGATTCTGATCCATAACAGCCCTGAATAGTGTTTTCAAGACTGTAAACATGTATGGTAACAGAAAGCCACATAGTTCTCCCATGGAGTTTGAGCTGCTGACCATTTGGTTAGCAGTTCAATGCTTATTCTACAGTGCCACCTGGACTCCAGGACTAGTATAATAAACATATCATAAATAAGTGGCTTTAACAAACATAAATTTGTTTTCTCACTATCTGCTGTTGTTGTTACGTGCCATCAAGCCTGTTCCGACTCAAAGCAACTCTATGCACAACAGAACTAAACACTTCCCACCTGTGTCATCCTCATAATTTTTGATAAATCTGAGCCTGTTGCTGCTGACACTGACTCGCCACTTCACCAAGCATGATATCCTTCTCCAGAGACAGGTCACTCCTAATAACATATCCAAAGTAGGAGAGACGAAGTCTCACAACCCTGGCTTCTAAGGCGCATTTTGGCTGTACTTCTTCCAACACAGATATATTTGTTCTTCTGGAAGTCCATACTACTTTTATTATTCTTCTCCAACACCACAATTCAAATACATTGATTCTTCTATGTTCTGCCTTATTCATCGTCTGATTTTCACATGTATACGACACAATTGAAAATACCATGGCTTCAGTCAAGCATACCATAGTCCTAAGGCTGATCTTTGATCTTGAACACTTTAAAAAAGTCTTGTACAGCAGATTTACCTAATGCAATACGTCATTTGGTTGACTGGGGCATCTATGAATGTTGATTGTGGAGCCAAGCAAAACTAAGCCTGTGACAACTTCAGTCTTTTCTCTAGTAAGCCTGGAGCACACCTTTCCAGATTTGAAACCATTCAGAATCCCCTTGTTCTGTTCAAACAACTGTCTTTTGGTCTATGTAAAGGTTTGCCATGCGTACAATGAAGTGTTCTGGAAAACCCAGTCTTCATAATGTTACCCATAGTTTGTCATGTTCCACACAATTGAAAGCCTTTGCATAGTAAATAAATCACTAACAAACATCTTTCTGGTATTCTCTCCTTGCAGTCACGGTCCACCTGACATCAGCAATGGTATCCCTGCTTCCACATCCTCTTCTGAATCTGGCTTGAATTTTGGGCAGTTCTCCTAAATTGGATTGTTGTTGTTGTGAAGTGCCATAGAGTCTATTCCGACCCTTAGTGACCCTCTATAGGGTTTCCGAGGAACAGCTTCAACCGCCAACCTTGCAGTTAAAAACAGCTTTACGGTCTGGAGCATTAACCCACAGCACCACACCAGGAGTACTCACAATTTAGGAGATTAGAAGTTAGGTTTCAGGGTGCCAACTCTAGGGAAAGTCTTTTTCTCTCTATTGTCTCTGAAGGAAGGTCTTTATCTCTTTTAGCTTCTGTTCCTAGGCATCTCTCTTCTCCCATTTCAGCTTCTCTTTCTTGATTATTTAATCACTTTTATATCTCAAAAAAGATTGATTTAAGGCAAAAACAGCACTAATCCTGCTTGGTAACTAAAACAACCCATTTCCGAATGAGATTATAAACAAGGCATAGAGGTTAGGATTTAAAACACAGATACGGGAAGGGGCACAATTGAATCCATAATATCGGGGAACTTTGGTTTCATCCACTAAAAATAAGGATAAAAATAGCCACAACTTATTATGTTTTAGTAGTCATTACAATAAATATTGTGTGTTGAGTTCTTGATAGCGCTCTGCACCTAGTAGGAGTTCAACCCAGACCAATTATTTTTCCTCACTTTCTTGACAATTGGAAGAAGTAGGTTTGCAAACTAGACACAACGTATGAGTACATCTGTGCAAGCTATGCACAACTGTTGTACACTGATCTCAAGTTTTTCACACATTTGTATCTTTTTCTCATTTACAAGCTCTGGTAGCGTAGTGGTTATGAATCGGGCTGCTGATCTCATGGTCAGCAGTTCGAAACTGCCAGCCGTTCTGCAGGAGAAAGTTGAGGCTTTCTGCTCCCGTAAAGATTTACAGCCTCGGAAACCCTGTACAGGGTCGCTATGAGTCGGAACTGACTCCATGGATTTTAACAACAACGACACCAAACCCAGGAGTATTTGGTTGGTCTGATGCTGATGGACCTGAGCTCCAGACATTCCTCATTTCTCTAGTGCCAACATTGAGTCCAGTGAACAACCAACACCACATGTCTGACAGAAAACCAGTCTAGTTCAACAAGTCTTAGAGGGTTTGGTAATCTGCATACCTAACCAATGCATAATCCCTCCTGACATTCAGGACAAAGGCCTCATGTTGAATTTCTAAGCAGAGTCATACAGCCTGTATCAAATATTTTCCTTAATGTTGTTGTTCTTGTTGCTAAGTGCTGTCTGACCCATAGCAACCATGTATAGGGTTTCCAAGGAGCAGCTGGTGAGCTTGAACCACCGACCTTGCAGTTCAAATGGCTTTGCAGTCTGGTGCATTAACCCACAGCGCCACACCAGGTACGACTGCTTCTGAATACATGAATATATTTCAGTTCTATTCTGAGAATATGTTTGACGAAGAGCCACTTTTGTTTTCTTTCATTCTAGGTAACAGGCATATTTAAACTGTATCTCGCCTGATTTGATTTGAGTCTCAGAGTTATTTCCAAATTATTTACAATTTAAAAATATTAATATGAAATAGATTTTCAGGAAAAGTAGAATTTTTTGCCTTTCAACAACTGATTTTTTTCTCTTAGCTATGAGATTTATGAAAAGATATAAACTCAGAATGAATAAAGCTAATTACATTACCTGCACCTTGAAGGGTTCAAATGTATTAATGGGATGGGTTAGGCCATATATAACTTTTTCATTTTCTGCCTCAAATGTCCCTGAAAGACAAACATTAATAATATGATTTTTTTTCTTTACTTTCTGTGTATAAAGGAGGTAATTCACTTTTGAAAAATTTCAAACATTTACTTACCAAAAATTCTGTCCCAGATAATCAGAGTACCAGCATAATTTTTGTCTATGCAATAACGGTTTCTTCCTATGAGTCAAAAACATTACAAAGTAAATAAATCAATTTGTGATCTTTGTCTGTTGTTAGGTGTCTGGTATTTTTAGAACACAGTCATAAAATTATGTCTTAAAGAACAAAATGAGTTTTCTGATAATGTCTTTGCTCTGATAACACTATGCCTTGTTTGCTAACAAATTACGTATTCATTTTCTTTATTTTCAGTCATCTTATTAAAAAAGGAAATATAATTATGCATTTTTTTTAACATGAGACAGTTCTAAGTTATTTTTCAGGGCTATAGTATAGATGACTAATAAAAATTAAATCACTCAGGAAAAAATTAATAGGAAATAAAATTAAGGAATAATGAACCTATGATATTTACTTTAATTTTTTATCTGAGTTGTAATCTTTATCTTTTTTTCTGCAACTGCTCCAGGAGGAAAACTTTCTATTTACAATGAGGCTTCACTACTTTTTTTTTTTTTTTTTTTTTTAATCATAAAAGAGCTTTGGGGTCAGCTGCACACATCCACATCCATGGCCCTACATGATCTAAACAATGGTTCTCAATTGGGAATAATTTCTCCCCTTGGGGACATTGCTTGTGGACAATTTTGGGGTCACAACTGGAAAGGGGTACCTGTGGCATCTAAAAGTAAAAGACCAGGACTGCTTTTAAACATCAACGCATAGGACAGCCCTCATGAGAAACAATTGTTGTTAAATACCTTAGAGTTGGTTTAGACTCATAGCCACCCTGTTTAGGGTTTCTGAGGCTTTAAATTTCTGCAGGAGCATAAAGTCTCATCTTTCTCCTGCAGACTGACACCTTGAAAGGTTACCTTATCGCTCAAATCAGTGCTTAACATATGTGGTCCTTATCGTTCACAATCAGTGCTTAACATATGGAGCCATGGTGCTCCCCAAAAAGGAACAATTATTCATTCCAAAATACCAATATTCCTTAGATTGAGAAACCCTGATTGAAAGCAACAGGAGTAAAGGAGTGAGAATGTGTTCTGGTATCCAAGAGAAGAAAACCTTTTTCTTTTCCTTCTCTTTTATTTGTCAATTTTCACTTCCTCACTCGTTGTTGTTAGGTGCCATCTTGTTGGTTCCAACTCATAGCAACCTTATACACAACAGAACACAACACTGTCTAGTCATGCATCGCCCTCACGATGATGTTAAGCTTGAGCCCACTGCTGCGGCCACTGTGCCCATCTATCTCATTGGTGTCTTCATCTTTTTCATTGACCTTCCAATTTACCAAGCATGATGTCCTTCTCCAGAGACTGGTCCCTCCTGACAACATGAGAGAAGTCTGACCATCCTGGCTTCTAAGGACTATTCTGGCTGCACTTTTTTTTTCAGGATAGATTTGTTTCTTTCTTTCAGCAATACATGGCACTTTTAATATTCTTCTCCAATACCATAACACAAATGTATCAATTCTGCCAACTTCCTTATTCATTGTCCAACTTTCACATGAATAGAAGAGATTAAAAATACTATGACTTTGTCAGGCAAACATTAGTCCACAAACTGACATCTTTGCTCTTGAACATTTAAAAAAAGATGTATTGTCCAACAGATTTCTCTAATGCAGTATATCATTTGATTTCTTGACTGCTGCTTCCATGAGTGTTGATAGTGGATTCAAGCAAAATGAAGTCTTGGACAACTTCAATTTTTTCTCCAATTATCATTATGTTATTTATTGGTCCATGATGAGAATTTTTGCTTTCATTCTATATGGAGAAAACCCCAAATTAACATTCTTGGTCTCTCCATCCTCTCATGAAATCTTTCCTGTGAGTGGAGAATGTTGAGTTTGGAAGAGTAAATGAACATGCACAGGTCGACATGTTCTATGTTCTTCTTGTGGGAAATTGTGCATCTCTGCTCCCTGTCATGGGGAGAAAGACTTGCTCCCTTTGGGAAGGTAAATCTGAAAGACCAATGTGATGTCTTGGATACCACACACATACCCATCATCTATATCATCTCAATTCCAACTCACAGCAACCCTATAGGACAGAGTAGAATTGTTCTGTAGAGTTTCTGAGACTGTAAATATTTACAGGAGGCAGACAGCCTCATCTTTCTCCCTTAGATAGGCTGCTTGGTATGAATTGCTGATCTTCTGGATAGCAGCCCAATACTTAACCTGCTGCATCACCAGGCCTTTTTTGCCTTGGGCATGGTTGTTGTTGCTAAGTGCCATTGAGTCAGTTCCAACCCATAGTGACCCTGTATAGGGTTTCTGAGGAGTGGCTGACAGGTTTGAATCATCAACTATATCGTTCAAACTGGCCTTGCAGTCCAGTGCATTATCCTGCAGCACCACACCAGGACTCCTTGGGTAGAGTAATTCTAAAGTCCAGTTTGGGGATGCTAGATTATGTTCATATCAAAGCACATACATCAGTCAACTTTATCAGTTATAAATGTGATGTTTTTTCTCTGTCTAATTTGTATTACTTAAGTTCAGCTAGACTTAGATCAGAAAGAATGATGTTACTTATTGGGCCCTCCAAACCCCTAAAACATAGCATACTTTATCAAAAAACTTGAGAATTAGATAATAAAAATGTTTGAACAACAGCAAAAGGATATATGGGGGGTTTTAAGGAGCCAAAGTGTGGCTTTAGGGCTTGAAAATGGTTTGAACCACAAGGTTGGTGGTTCAACCATACCAGTCATTCCTTGGAAATCCTATACAAGATTACTATGAGTTGTAACTGACTCAATGGCACTTAACAACAACAACAACAACAATGTATTTTTGATGGAAATTTGTAAGTGCTGTGCTGATTAGTTGTTATGTAGTGAAATAATGTAAAATAATGCAATTTTTAAATAACTGAAGAAGGGAAGGAAGAAGAAATTGTTGTCAGGTGACAAAGAGTCGATTCTGACTCACAACAACCCTATGCACAACAGAACAAAGCTACCTGGTCCTGTGTCATTCTCACAATCTTTGTTACCCTTGCGCCCATTGCTGCTGACACTGTGCCATTCTATCTCATTGGGGGTCTTCCTCTTTTTCACTGACCCTCCACTTTACCAATCATGTTGTCCTTCTCCATGGACTGGTCTTTCCTGATAATCTGAGCAAAGTATAAGAGATGAAGTCTCGCAATCCCGGTTTATAAAGCACATTCTGGTTGTACTTCTTCCAACACAGATTTGTTTGTTCTTTTGGTAGTTCGTGGTACTTTTAATATTCTTCTCCAACACCATACCTCAAATGTATCAATTATTCTACAGCCCTCCTTATTCATTGTCCAACTTTCATATGCATTTGAGATGAATGAAAATTCTATGGCTTTGGTCAAACACACCTTAGTCCACAAACTGGTTTCTTTGCTATCAAGCTGCTTAAAGCAGGAGATTTGCCTAATAGAATACATTTGATTTATTGACAGTTGCTACCCTTAGTACTGACAGTGGATCCAAGCAAAATGAAATCTTTGACAATTTCAAGTTTTTCTCCATTTATCATGATGCTACTTATTGGTCCAGTGATCAAGATTTTTGTTTTCTTTACATTGAGGTACAATCCATACTGAAGGTTGTTGTCTTTGTTATTCACAGCAAGTATTTTAAGTCCTCTTTGTTTTCAGAAAACAAGGGTGTATCAACTCCATATCACAGGCTGTTAATAAGTCTTCCTCCAGTCCTGATGCCATGTTTACTTTTGTATAAACCAGCTTCTCAGATTATTTGCTCAACATGAAGAATGAATAAATATGGTAAAAAAAATACAGCCTGCCACACACCATTTCTGATGTTAAACCATGTTTTCTTGGTCTAATTTTGGCATTCTCTGCTTTCAGACAGTTTCCACCTGACATCAGCAATGATAAGCCTAGTTCCACATCCTCTTCTGAATCCAGTTGAATTTCTGACAGTTCTCTGTTGATGTACTGTTGTAGCCATTTTTTAATTACCTTCAGCAAAATTTTACTTGCATGTGATATTTTTTTCCCAATGATTTCTGCATTCCATTGGATCACCTCTATTTGGAATAGGCACAAATATGGATGGCCTCTGATTGGTTAGCGAGGTAGCTGTTTTCCAAATTTTTTGGCATAGATCAGTGAGTGCCTCCAGTGCTGCATCAGTTTGTTGAAAGAAATAGAATATCCTTTTGATGAATCTTGTTTTTTTAGTTTTTCAGATTTTTGGTTCATTTTGTTTTGTGTTTTAAGCAAAGATTTTATATTACTGATATAATCATATACAATGCAAACAGAAAAGAGAATGGATCATAATTGTATAACTTCATGATTCTTTATAAAGTAAGCATAACTATGTCATTATGATGCAAAACAAGAAGTAAAACATTACCAGCTCCCTAAAGGCCTTATTGTATTCAGTCAAACATAATCCTCTCAGGTATAACTGCTATTCTGACTTCTGTTGGCATAATGTTAGATGTTAGGTGCTATCCAGGCAGTTCCAACCCACAGCCACCTTCTAGAGGGTTTCCAAGGAGCAGATAATGAGCTTGAACTGCCGATCTTGCAGTTCAAAAGGCTTTGTAGACTGATGCATTAACTAACAGTGCCACACCAGGACTCCTCTGAAAGCATAGATTAATATTTTTCTGGGAATTTATAATATTTAACAATATAATATTCTTTTATTATATGCTCCTTACTTTCAACATTGTATTTGTGAGATTAATGCATGCCATATGTCATATACTATATGAGATTCATAGAGCAAGCAGTTCAGACATTTTCATTGTTTTAAAAGTTTCTATTTCATGATTATACCACAATATCTTTATCCTTTTAACTGTTTATGAACATTTAAGATTTATTTTCAATTGTAAATAATGCTGATATATACATTCTTGCACACATCTATGGTGTACATTTATGTTATCAGTTAAGCAGCAGTCTTGAAAACATTTAGTTTTAGTTTTAGTTATTGACTAGCAAATGTAGTGTGCAGCGAGTTTGTACACAGAACTTAGGCAGGGACGTTGTTAGGCTGTTCTCCAATACCAAAGGCTTCAAGACTAGGGTTTCTCAGGTTGTAGATAGAAATGGTCCTCAGGTATGGAGGTCAAAGTGTTTATTTCATATCTTCCTTGTAGACATAATATATATAGGCCTTACTTGGTCAACATTGTTTTTCACTACAACTGAACTGAGCTATAGGTGAGAAGGAAAATCTAAATTCCAGATAAAAGAAGTATTATTTTTATTACCTCCCCATCCCCTCCCACAAACCCTACTTGGGAGATGAAGCTTGTCCAGATACAAAGGAAGAAACTATAGTTATTTACATAATGTGTGCTGTTAGACACCTGTGATGAAGTAAAGTAGTGCAAAATACTATCTATAGTTTTTAAATAACTGAAGAAGGAGAGCACAAAGAAATAGAACTTCCTTACCATGATGAACTCTATGATGGCTTGGAGTATTAAGAATCAGTTCCAAAGGACCAAGACTATTGATTACCTGTTTAAACAAAAGGAATACACACACTTAACACTAAATGTATATTGTAATATATATGCAATAAACAATTACTCACACTAAAACCCCACATGTTCTATTAAGAGATATTACAAATGTCAATGTTAGGCTTAGAGAGTGGGAAGACATTTTTCTACCAACTGGAGTCCTGATGTGGTGCTGTGGGTTAATGCTCCAGACTGCAAAGCCATTTGAAATGCAAGGTTGGTGGTTCAAGCTCATTAGCTGCTCCATGGAAACCCTATACAGGGTTGCTCTGGGTCGGAGTCTACTCGACAGCACTTAACAACAGCAAGAGCTCAAGTAAACCTAACAGTAAGCTTATAACTCTATTTGGAGATGGAACACAATAGTGTGGTTAAAAGCTACAGTTCTTCAATTAACTTCCCATATTCTCCAACTATTATGATGTGATTTGGGAAATATATATTGGTCTTTTTATAACTCAATTTCCTTATTTGTAAATGGGAATAATAACAGTATCTATAAGGTATTATAAACATTATCTAAATTACTGTATTCACATACTACAGTTATCAAGGCATACTTCTCTCAGACTTTTATATTCTACCTTTCAACAATAACTTTAATTATTCATGGCAGCAGAACACCAACCACCACTGGAGGAAAAGAACAATATTGTATTTGTTTTCTGGCACACATTTTATCCCATAATGAGCCATGGAGTAAGAACTTACTGCTAATAGTAGGATTTGTGTTTATTTAAATAAAAGTACCATCTCGCCTGGTTTTTACTTGTATATTGTTCTCCTTCCAGTTCTTTCTACACAATTCAAAGTCTGATGCCTTGCTATCAGTTAAGATCTTTCAAGATTTGGTCCCTAACTGTAATATTCTCTCTCATCATTTCCTGTAAGAATCATGCATGCCAAAAACTGTAAATTCTATGATAAATTCTTGAAAATCTATGAGACAGGAAGGGATCATAAAAACATTCAGCAGGCCATGTTTAAAACATTTGGCTTATTATATAATAAATATTGGGTAAATTGAAAATTCTTGTAATCTTTAAGGCATTATTCATTTTCCATCAGCAGTGGCAGATAACAGAATGTTGTGCTTCCTTTGATTCAACATTGAAACTAATTTATTAGAGCTTACCAATGAGAAATTAATATACTGTTATGGTATTTAAAGAAGTGACTCACCTGTAGAGTTAACTTTCATATTAGAAATAAAGGAATAAGTTACATGATTCTTAAGGGGAAAAATGCCACTGGCCGTGATGGCACAGATATGGTCTATAATCATAACTCAATGACCTGCAATGTGGGAAGGAGAGAGGGACTTCTTAAGTTGAAATTATGTTTAAGATTCATAACGATCGAATAAAATGTGTGGGTCTTGCTTAAATACTGATTTGAACCATCCATAAGATATTTTATAGGCAATAAGAGGAAGCTTATTATGGATATTGTTGTTGTTGTTAAGTGCCGTCGAGTCGGTTTCGACCCATAGCGACCCTGTACAGGGTTTCCGAGGGTGTAAATCTTTACAGGAGTAGAAAGCCTCATCTTTCTCCCGCGGAGCAGCTGGTAGTTTCGAACCGCTGACCTTAAAGGACATTATTAAATGATAAAAAAGTACTGCTTGCTTTAAAAAATGGGGAATTATATGCAATTATAGTTTTGTAAGAAAATAATTATTTTTCAGATGAATAATTGAAGTATGCATGACATGAGATCTAGGTTTTGCTTTAATATTTTAGCAAGGAAAGAGAAAAAGATAAAAAAATAGCTGAATGCTAAGGACCGAAATGTAGATGATTGTTAATTAGGGTATTGGAGATATAAAAATCCATCCTATTATTCGCACTACTTTCATGAATGTTTGAAAATTTTTGCAATAAAATTTCAGATGAAAGAAATTCCTACTCTAGTAATATGCAGTAAAAGTCATAATGCATTTTGAAAATAAAGTCCCAAAGACACTTCCAGATTGTAACTTTTAATTTAATAAGGCTTAATCATTTTTGGGAGGGCTATCTCTTACTCGAAAATTTTCTATTTACAATTGACTTGTGAATATGAACAGCTGCCAGGTCTCTACTGCCCTCTGCTTGTGGAGTCTTGTACTCAACTGGGATAGAAACAATGGCAATGGTGCCACAAAGCAATGCTGTACCTTCCATAGTACAGGTACCATCGTCACCTCTCCAAATGGTTCCTCCAATGAGGGGTCACACTCCTAAAAGAGGAAGAGTTCTTGTCTCCCACTTTGCCCATATTCTAAGGCATTCTAAGCTTCCACTATGAAATTGACTGAAATGTTTATGTGCAAAATAATGTGTAATGTAATTGGGGAAAAAATCTGGGATATCATTCTCCATTTAGCGTAGTGGTTACGAATTGGGCTGCTAACCTCAAGGTTGGCAGTTTGAAACTACCAGCTGTCTGCAGGAGAAAGAGGAGGCTTTCTGCTCCCGTAAAGATTTATAGCCTTGGAAACCCTGTACAGGATCACTATGAGTCGGAACCGACTCCATGGTACTTAACAAAAATGAAAAATGTATTCTGAGTTGCAAATAGCAGACTTATCATTAGATTCATATAGCCAAACTGGTTTTCATATTGTTTTGTTTTTTTAAACCCAAGACCTACTTGTAGCTTGTAATTTCAGGAGTTTAAAATGGCAAAACACAGTCTTTCTTTCAGAATGCATTACTATAAATTAAGACAGAAAAGAAAAATGCAACAATATTAATAAGAAATTGTGGTGGTAAGTAGAAAAAGCCTTGTGACTATTTTATTGTATTCTATTGCCTTGTACTTAGTGGAATAATATTTGAGAAAAACAATTATGATGAACGAACAAGAAAGTGAGGTTCCTCAGCAGTTCACAACATTGAAATCTGATGCTTTGCTCAGACTTTTCATCTCTGGCAGAGAACCAGATGGAAACGAGAAAACCATTCTATCCTTGTTTGTCTCTTTGGGACTTAACATGTGTTACAAAAACAAACAACAAAAGGAGGTGGAGGAGACTACAGGGACCAGCTTCTGCTACCCAGATGCATTTCTGATCCCTGGTCTGGGCATGTGTGGAGTCAGATTTAAAGCCACACAACTGGTGAGTGCAATCATATGACTGCAGTGCTAGCTAAGTGCTTTCCTTTCTTGCTTCTTCTTTTTTTAATGTCAAGCTCTTTTACCAAGGAAAATCTTTTGTTCCTGCAGGCTAAAACATGGTAATATCAGCACTGAAAGCTCTTTTTATTTTATTTTTATATTTAAAATTTTAAAGTTAAGTACAATACAGAATCTATATAAGAACAATTAAATTTCCTAGTAGCACCTCTAAGAACCTTGGAATTAGGGTAGACGGATGTCCCAGCAAAACCTCACAGGTAGAGAGTCATTCCAATTCAAAGTTATGGAGAAGTTATCTAACGATAAGAGCTGAACATAGAGACTTATGTATCATCCAATTTCACAAACTCAGCCACTTAGCTATTCAACCACATCTAGCTCTGAACCACTTCCTGAAAGTATATTGCTACAAAAATATTACTTAAAAATAAGTATTTTACTATAAAAAGTATATTACATTTAAAAACACTTCTTTGGATAAAATTTTTTGTTGCGAATTGAGCGATGGTTTAAAGACAAGATCTTCAGTTTTACATTCAACAAATTGTGTACTTTATTTCATGTCAGTGATAGCAAAGCTGTCCATGTAACAACGCTTATTCCACCGTCTCCCTGTGGTTCTTATTAACATTCCACCCTTCTTCTCATACCTTTTCAACTTTGTCCTTAGGTAAAGGTTGCCTTTTTTATCTTAAAAGGTTTACCATTCCATGGTGAGAGTACCTTAATAGTATTGTTGTCCTCCCTATGTACCTATGTAAAGTTTGGCTTAAAATTTTGTTTTAATATTTTTAAATTTAAAAGCCAAGTACTATACACAGACCATACAATCACAACTTTATTTCCTAATAACACCTTTATGAACCTTGAAGTCAGGGAAGACCACCTCAGAGTGTGAGATGATTCATACACTGATGTCCCAGTCAAAGCCTCCCTAGAAGAAAACCATTCCAATTCAAAGTCAGGGAGAAGTCATTTAACAATAAGGGTTGACTGTGAGTTCCATTCCAAACCTGAAGGGTGGTCAAGGGCCATAGCCTGGGTTGCTCCAGTCTCTTTCTGATCAGTAAGCATGGTTTTTTTTTTTTATATATAATTTTAAGTTTTGTTCTACATTTTCTCCCACTTTACCCTGAACCTTCTAAAGTGATGCCTTTCAGAGCAATTGATAATTGTAGCCAGCACATCTAGTTCTTCTGGTTTCAGAATCAGGGTGACTGATGTTCGCATGGCCCATTGGTCCATTGGACTAGTTGATTCTAACATCTTCA